TGAAAATGGAAAGATTTTATTTAAAAAAAATGCCATTAGCATGTTGGTGAGGGGGAGGAGGGATGAACCTTTCAGCTTTAAATCACCATTTTAGATCTCCATCCAGCAGTCCTATTTCTACACAATAGCCGCATCAAGGTCAGTATTTATGTAAAAGAAAAAAAAAAAAAACACAAAAGAAAAAAAAAAAAAAAAAAAAATCATGCCATGGAACAATGAGCACCCGAGACACAATGACCGCAGTCACAAGCACCTGGAGATCTCACAAACTGTTGTAGGTGACGTGGACCTTGTGTGTCCATACCCAATCCAGTGGAAGAGATGGATTCTCAGGCTATGGTCAGGTCATAACTGTACATTTGGGATGTGCCGAGCGTATTCTATAGACTGCGTAACAAAAACAGCGCGCGTTCCGTCCACAAATCAAATATTACAAAACATGTCCCGAAGAATTTAGGAGCATTATAGTGTCACCTGTGGAATGAATTGGAACATCGATGGTGAGCCAGGTCTTCTTCTCATCCAACATCAGTAGCTGATCTCACAAATGGACACAAATACCCATGGACACCCTCCAAGATCTTGTGGAAAGTCTTCTGAGATGAGTGGAGGTTGTTCTATCCCAGGGGCGGACTGACCATTTGGAAACTCGGGCACTTCCCGAGGGCCCGGGGTCAGTAGGGGGCCCCATGAGATGCCCCTGGTACCTTTTTCATAGGCTTTTTTGAGTTTTGGCAAGGACACAGGTGCCCCATGATCCCCTATTGCCTGGGGGCCCCATGAGTTATCAGTCCGCCCCTGTTCTATCCACAAAGGGGGTCAATTTCATGCCCTGGCCGTGGGAGGGGGGCGAGCCACTGTTACTGGCCGCGGAGGGACAAGCCCCAACTGTTCTGGACCGCGGAGGGACAAGCCCAACTGTTCTGGACCGCGGAGGGACAAGCCCAACTGTTCTGGACCGCGGAGGGACAAGCCCAACTGTTCTGGACCGCGGAGGGACAAGCCACCGTTACTGGCCATGGAGGGACAAGCCAACGTTACTGACCGTGGAGGGCAGGGGCGGACTGAATATTTGGAAACTCGGGCACTGCCTGAGGGCCCGGGGTCAGTAGGGGGCCCCATGAGATGTCCCTGGTACCTTTTTCATAGGCTTTTTTGAGTTTGGGCAAGGACACAGGGGCCCCATGATCCCCTATTGCCCGGGGGCCCCATGAGTTATCAGTCTGCCCCTGGTGGAGGGACAAGCCAACGTTACTGGCCGCGGAGGGACAAGCCAACGTTACTGGCCGCGGAGGGACAAGCCAACGTTACTGGCCGCGGAGGGACAAGCCAACGTTACTGGCCGCGGAGGGACAAGCCAACGTTACTGGCCGCGGAGGGACAAGCCAACGTTACTGGCCGCGGAGGGACAAGCCAACGTTACTGGCCGCGGAGGGACAAGCCAACGTTACTGGCCGTGCAGGGACAACCCAACGTTACTGGCCGTGCAGGGACAACCCAACTTTCTGACCACGGAGGGACAACCCAACTTTACTGACCACGGAGGGAAAACCCAACTTTACTGACAAGGCTTTTTTGAGTTTGGGCAAGTACACGGGCCCCATGATCCCCTATTGCCTGGGGGCCGTATGAGTTGTCAGTCCGCCCCTGGTGGAGGGACAAGCCAACGTTACTGACCGTGGAGGGACAAGCCAAGTTTACGGACCGTGGAGGGACAAGCCAAGTTTACGGACCGTGGAGGGACAACCCAAGTTTACTGACCGTGGAGGGACAACCCAAGTTTACTGACCGTGGAGGGACAACCCAAGTTTACTGACCGTGGAGGGACAACCCAAGTTTACTGACCACGGAGGGAAAACCCAATTTTACTGACCACGGAGGGAAAACCCAATTTTACTGACCACGGAGGGAAAAACCCAACTTTACTGACCACGGAGGGAAAACCCAACTTTACTGACCACGGAGGGAAAACCCAACTTTACTGACCACGGAGGGAAAACCCAACTTTACTGACCACGGAGGGAAAACCCAACTTTACTGGCCACGGAGGGAAAACCCAACTTTACTGACCACGGAGGGACAACCCAACGTTATTGACCGTGGAAGGACAACTCCATATTAATGGTCATGGTTTTTGAATGTCCAACAACTCCTATAGGTGTGACAGTCACGTGGCCACATCCTGTACATTTTGACACCTATATACGGGTATTTCATTTCAATGTATATTCCTCTGTAGCCACTTATAAATCTTCAGCTCGGATAGGTTGCATTTTTTGCGACTTTGTAAACAAGTATCGACATCCGTTGGAGCCAAAACAGATCTGGAAATAGTTTTCGGTTTATAAATAGAGAAATCCTATATGTGAAGAGCAATGATGCAAAAGGTACTTTTTGGGGCTGAGCGGTTCACATGTCAGGCTATTATTATAAGGGAGGAATGCAGCCAGTCTGCTGGGCCACGTACATTCCTTCCCGGACGGCACACTACATACCACTTGGTGGTCAAGGCTGACGAGTGAATGAAGAGCGGAGATGACGGCGCTTGCAGCATGCAATGGTATAAAGGTCACGGGTAGGATTTAGGCCCGGCCCCCCACTCCACTGTGTCCAGCATGAGGCACTGAATGTTTTCTCATCAATGAAATGATCTTCTATACCTAATGAATGGTGAGGGATCCCAGGAGGGAGTATCCGAATCGGAGGAAAAGGAAGCGTCCTCCCAGCCTGTCCATTGTCCTTGAAGAAACCACTTCTCCTCCCCCCCCCCCCCCCCAGTACAGTATACAAACGGTCAAGGAAAGGGTTAATGTAGATGTGCGCCCGAACTGAATGACTCAAAGTTGGCTTTGTTTATCAAAAAACAAAAAATAAAAGTTACAAAATCCTTTTATTCATCTTTTTATCCTTTATTAAATCTCAGCACTGTTCTCCTGTGGCCTCTTTGCAGCCACTTCCTGTCTACAGGCCCCCCAGCTATGGTTTAAAAAGAAAGAAATAGGAAGCGCCACCACCTAAGTGTAGATTATTACTAATAACCTGCACCTAGAGATAGAAAGCCCCACCACCCAAGTGCAGATTACTAATATATATATAAAAATAGAAGCCTCACCACCCAAGTGTAGATTACTAATATATACATAGAAATAGGAAGCCCACCACCCAAGTGTAGATTACTAATAATATATACATAGAAATAGAAAGCCCACCACCCAAGTGTAGATTACTAATAATCTGCACATAGTAATAGGAAGCCCACCACCCAAGTGTAGATTACTAATAATCAGCAGATAGTAATAGGAAGCCCACCACCCAAGTGTAGATTACTAATAATCAGCACATAGTAATAGGAAGCCTAACCACCCAAGTGTAGATTACTAATAATCAGCAGATAGTAATAGGAAGCCCACCACCCAAGTGTAGATTACTAATAATCAGCAGATAGTAATAGGAAGCCCACCACCCAAGTGTAGATTACTAATAATCAGCAGATAGTAATAGGAAGCCCACCACCCAAAGTGTAGATTACTAATAATCAGCAGATAGTAATAGGAAGCCCACCACCCAAGTGTAGATTACTAATAATCTGCACATAGTAATAGGAAGCCCACCACCCAAGTGTAGATTACTAATAATATATACATAGAAATAGAAAGCCCCACCCCCAAGTGTAGATTACTAATAATATATACATAGAAATAGAAAGCCCACGACCCAAGTGTAGATTACTAATAATCAGCCCATAGTAATAGGAAGCCCACCACCCAAGTGTAGATTACTAATAATCAGCACATAGTAATAGGAAGCCCACCACCCAAGTGTAGATTACTAATAATCAGCACATAGTAATAGGAAGCCCACCACCCAAGTGTAGATTACTAATAATCAGCGCATAGTAATAGGAAGCCCACCACCCAAGTGTAGATTACTAATAATCAGCACATTGATTGGGTACAATTATTAGCTATAATAAAGTATTTCTGCTCCTCGTGGGTCGGGTTTTGGGGGTTGGGTTTACATTGTTCTCGATCTCTGGGATGGAACCTTTTATGATTGGTTCACCTTCTAAACCTTCACTGGAGACCAGGGGCGGACTGACCATTTGGAAACTCGGGCGCTGCCCGAGGGCCCGGGGTCAGTAGGGGGCCCCATGAGATGCCCCTGGTACCTTTTTCATAGGCTTTTTTGAGTTTTGGCAAGGACACAGGGGCCCCATGATCCCCTATTGCCCGGGGGCCCCATGAGTTGTCAGTCCGCCCCTGCTGGAGACATTTGAAAGCTCCTGATATAAATAATTGGATACATTTTTCTATTACACAAACAGGATAAATTGCCTCTCCGCTGCTACAAGTGCCATTTCCCATGACGTCATGGGGGGAGGGTGCCATTTTTTTGCAGCCCATTTTTTATGAATGGGCTGCAACGTACCGAAGCCGCACTTTTCTTACAGAAGGACTAAACTCTCCAGTTTTTGATGTAAGTCCACTTGTATGCACAGGCGGAGCCAAGGACAGTAGGCGTGTGAACACTTTGGATTTGTCATCTTCACCACTGGAGCCTCTGGTTCCTGTGCCCCGCTTCCCTTGGGTCTGGGTCAGGGAGCGCACACACTCAATCCCACCAATCCCCCCTCCATGGGACTACAGGTTTCAGAGCTCCAAACATGTGCGTTCCCATACAGTATAGTTCTCACCAGCTGTAACCGTGGCTGCACTGGACCCTGCAAGGTGGTGAAGACCAGGGGGCGGACTGGCAACTCATGGGGCCCCCGGGCAATAGGAGATCATGGGGCCCCTGTGTCCTTGCCCAAACTCAAAAAAGCCTATGAAAAAAGGTACCAGGGGCATCTCATGGGGAACCCTAATGAGCCCGGGCCCTCGGGCAGTGCCCGAGTTTATAAATGGTCAGTCCGCCCCTGGTGGAGACACCCAACCTGGAGTGGCCATCCTTGGACCTGTTCAACTAGAAGGGGAGGGGCTTCCAGACAGGAAGAGACACGGCAAAACCACAGTCCAACCAACCAAAACTATGTAGACGCCCCCCCCTTCCCAACAAATTAAAAAACAATGTAACAAATTGTACTTTTTAGTTTTCAGTCCTCACTGGCATGTCTGAGAAGGTTCTCATGTATCCAGGTCATGGGATACATTATATTGCCAAAAGTATTGGCCCCGCCCTCCCAATCATGTGATTCAGGTGTTCCAATCCCCTCCATATCATGTGATTCAGGTGTTCCAATCCCCTCCATATCATGTGATTCAGGTGTTCCAATCCCCTCCATGGACACAGGTGTATACAATCAAGCCCCTAGGCATGCAGACTGCTTCTACAAACATTGGTGAAAGAATGTGTCGCTCTCAGGAGCTCAGTGACTCCAAGCGTGGTCCCGTGATAGGTGGCCACCTGGGCAATAAGTCCATCCGTGACATTTCCTTGTTACTAAATATTCCACGCTCAACTGTTAGTGGGATTATAACAAAGTGGAAGCAACTGGGAACAACAGCAACTCAGCCACCAAGTAGTAGGCCACGTCACATGACAGGGCGGGGTCAGCGCATGCTGAAGCGCACAGTGCGCAGAAGTCGCCAACTGTCTGCAGAGTCAATAGCTAAAGACCTCCAAACTTGGTGTGGCCTTCAGATGAGCCCAACAACAGTGCGTAGAGAGCTTCATGGAATGGGTTTCCATGGCCGAGCAGCTGCATCCAAGCCTTCCATCACCAAGTGCAATGCAAAGCGTTGGATGCCATGGTGTAAAGCACGCCGCCACTGGACTCTAGAGCATGGTAGATCTAGTAGTGGTTAGTCTCATAGATCCAGGTCATGGTAGATCTAGCAATGGTTAGTCTCATAGATCCAGGTCATGGTATATCTAGTAGTGGTTAGTCTCTTAAATCCAGGTCATGGTAGATCTAGTAGTAGCCTCTTAGATCCAGGTTATGGTAGATCTCTTAGATAGGTCATGGCTCTAGATCTCTTAGATCCAGGTCATGGCAGATCTAGTAGTGGTTAGTCTCTTAGATCCAGGTCATGGTAGATCTAGTAGTGGTTAGTCTCTTAGATCCAGGTCATGGTAGATCTAGTAGTGGTTAGTCTCATAGATCCAGGTCATGGTAGATCTAGTAGTGGTTAGTCTCATAGATCCAGGTCATGGTATATCTAGTAGTGGTTAGTCTCTTAAATCCAGGTCATGGTAGATCTAGTAGTAATCTCTTAGATCCAGGTCATGGTAGATCTAGTAGTGGTTAGTCTCTTAGATCCAGGTCATGGTAGATCTAGCAATGGTTAGTCTCATAGATCCAGGTCATGGTAGATCTAGCAATGGTTAGTCTCATAGATCCAGGTCATGGTAGATCTAGCAATGGTTATTCTCATAGATCCAGGTCATGGTAGATCTAGTAGTAGTCTCATAGATCCAGGTCATGGTAGATCTAGTAGTAGTTCCTCATATTTAACCAGATTGTTCTAGAATATTGCCGTTTTTCGTCGTCCATCCAGCATGCCGAGCCACTCGGTGAGGTCTGTGAAGGACCAACAGTGGTACCAATCAGTTTCTAGTAGCAACTTGTTAATGAAGCATTCATAATGGTCCTCCAGGAGGAAAGGGTTAACCGTTCCCTCTTGATGGTGGGGTGTGATTGCCTGACAATTGCCTCCTTATTTCCCAGGCTGACATAAGACACTCCCTGCTCACCCCCCAGGGGGCACAGACGGTGCCTGGGGTGGGATGTGATCCCACACATTGAACACATAACAGGGTCCTTTCTACTCTCTCCAAACATGCCAGCCGCCTCTGCAGTGGAGTATGTCATGTAATTAACCCCTACACAGGCTCAGCCCTGTGCTCCTCCACCCAGGGAACATTCCAACTGGAGGAGGCCGAAAAGTGGGGTCACCAAGGGTGGAGACCCCGGCCTCGAAAAAAATTATCTCATTAACCTCGACTTTGAAATTTTCCCTGATAAGTCCTCTGGATGAGAAGTTCTGGAGCCCAGAGCCATTTATTGATGGAAAACAAGCCACTGGGGGGGGTCGAGGAAACGAGGAGGAACCCAACGCCATCTGAGCAATGCAAACTCCAACTGGATGACATTTACTCAACAATGGCCACTTTTTTCTTCTATTTGTTGCATCTCAGTGCTGCTAATCGCCTGCGGACGCTTAGCAGCCACTTCTCTTCTCAGGGCGGGTTTTCCTGATGGTGACCACAGTGGACCATGCCTGTAACCTGTGCTGAAATGGCCGACTGTAGTCTCTATTGGAAGCCCATGTGACAACACAGGAGCACAATTGGGAAACTGGGACACAGCGTTGTCAACCAACAGGAAGTGCCTGAACAAGGGGATTATTTTAAGGAAAGCTAAAAAAAAAAAAAAAAAAAAAAAAAAAAGGATTCAAGAGCTGAAACACGACTTTGCCTTTGTGGTGTCATTCATTTGGAACGGCACTTTAATCCGCGAAGGCTTTGCAGCTCTGAGGAACATGCGTCCGCATGGAAGACCGACCTTCATTAGAAGGGGGACTATACAGGGCACAAGACTGGCACAGCAGGGGCGGACTGACCATTTGGAAACTCGGGCACTGCCCGAGGGCCCGGGGTCAGTAGGGGGCCCCATGAGATGCCCCTGGTACCTTTTTCATAGGCTTTTTTGAGTTTGGGCAAGGACACAGGGGCCCCATGATCCCCTATTGCCCGGGGGCCCCATGAGTTGTCGGTCCGCCCCTGCTGGAGACATTTGAAAGCTCCTGATATAAATAATTGGATACATTTTGCTATTACACAAACAGGATAAATTGCCATTTCCTCGGACGTCATGAGGGGAGGGTGCAATTTTTTTTGCAGCCCATTTTTTATGAATGGGCTGCAACGTACCGAAGAAGCCGCAAGACGCACTTTTCTTACAAAAGGTTGTCAGTCCACCCCTGTGGCACAGAGCGCGGCCACCCTACAACAGGAAGTGCCTGAACAAGAACTCTAATGGCAGGATCATTTGCAATTCAGATTTAGGGTTCAATTCACACCAGATGCGTTGAGGTGCGATTGTGAGTGCATTGCCCCAACGCATGGCAACCAAAAAAAAAAAATGGTTCCCTATGACGGAGGTTCACAGCAACATGTTGCCTTATCTCACTGCTGGGGAAAAAAAAAAAAATCAAGCATGCACTGTTTTTTTTTGTTTATCAGTACGGAAATGCATGCAAAACGCACACAACGCAATGCACTGCAGAGCAAAATCTAGGAAGAAAACATTCAGTGGACCACATCAATGGGCCCTTGGCCATTCAAATTATATTTTGTATTTTTTTTATATATTTTTATTATAAATAAAAAAAAAAAAAAATGGATAAGAGATATAGATTGTGATATATGATGCATTTTTAAAATATATATAAAAAATACAAAAATGTAATTTTATATATATATATATATATATATTTTTTTTTTCTATCTATCACACAATCTAGGTCTATTTTATTTAAAAAAAAATACAAAGGAGATATAGATTGTGTGATATATGATGCATTTTTAAAATATATATTAAAGAATACAAAATTTAAATTTTATTTATATATATATATATATATATATATATTTATTTATTTTTTTTAATTAATATATGTATTAAAATATTAAAAATGCAATATATATATATATCTATCTATCTATCTATCTATCTCTCTCTCTCTCTATCACACAGTCTAGATCTATTTTATTTAAAAAAAAATACAAAATATAATTATATATATTTTGTATTTTTTTATAAATAAAATAGAGAAGAGATATAGATTGTGTGATATATGATGCATTTTTAAAATATATATTAAAAAATACAAAATGTAATATATATATATCTCTCTATCTATCTATCTAAATATTTATTTATTTTAAATTAATATATGTATTAAAATTAATATATGTATTAAAATATTAAAAAATGCAATATATATATATATATATATATATATATATATATATATATATATATATATATATATATATATATATATATATATATATATATATATATATATATATATCTATCTCCCACAATCTAGATCTATTTTATTTAAAAAAAAAATACAAAATATAACTATATATATTTTGTATTTTTTTATAAATAAAATAGAGAAGAGATATAGATTGTGTGATACATGATGCATTTTTAAAATGTATATTAAAAAATACAAAATTTAATTATATATATATATATATATATATATATATATATATATTTTTTTTTTTTTTTTTTTTTTTTTTTTTAATTAATGTATTAAAATTTAATATATGTATTAAAATATTAAAAATGCTATATATATATCTATCTATCACACAATCTAGATCTATTTTATTTAAAAAAAAATACAAAATATAATTATATATATTTTGTATTTTTTTATAAATAAAATAGAGAAGAGATATAGATTGTGTGATATATAATGCATTTTTAAAATATATATTGAATACATATATTAATTTAAAAAACCCATATAAATATATTGCACACACACACACACAAAAGGAGACTTTTTAGTCAAAGTCCAGCATCAAGTCGATGAAACTCCTGGGATATTGATCTGGTCAGGTAAGTCGCAGAGGGGGGTGTTCATCAGTTTCAGCTGCTTTGGTGTTCATGAAATGAACAACAGGTGCACTAGATGGGCAACAATGAGACGACCCCCAAAACAGGAATGGTTTTACAGGTGGAGGCCACTGACAATTTTTTCCTACTCATCTTTTCTGACTGTTTTTCACTAGTTTTGCATTTGGCTCGGGTCAGTGTCACTACTGGTAGCATGAGGCCATACCTGGACCCTACAGAGGTTGTACTGGCAGTCCAACTCCTCCAGGATGGAACATCAATACGTGACATTGCTAGAAGGTTTGCTGTGTCTCCCAGCACAGTCTCAAGAGCATGGAGGAGATTCCGGGAGACGAGAGCACGGAGGAGATTCCGGGAGACGAGAGCACGGAGGAGATTCCGGGAGACGAGAGCACGGAGGAGATTCCGGGAGACGAGAGCACGGAGGAGATTCCAGGAGACGAGAGCACGGAGGAGATTCCAGGAGACGAGAGCACGGAGGAGATTCCAAGAGACGAGAGCACGGAGGAGATTCCAGGAGACGAGAGCACGGAGGAGATTCCAGGAGACGAGAGCACGGAGGAGATTCCAGGAGACGAGAGCACGGAGGAGATTCCAGGAGACGAGAGCACGGAGGAGATTCCAGGAGACGAGAGCACGGAGGAGATTCCAGGAGACGAGAGCACGGAGGAGATTCCAGGAGACGAGAGCACGGAGGAGATTCCAGGAGACGAGAGCACGGAGGAGATTCCAGGAGACGAGAGCACGGAGGAGATTCCAGGAGACGAGAGCACGGAGGAGATTCCAGGAGACGAGAGCATTGAGGAGATTCCGGGAGATGAGATCACGAAGGAGATTCCCTTCTGTGCTCACTGCCCGGCACCATAGAGCTGGATGGGCATTTTCCATTGAACCCCAGAATTGGCAGGTCCACCACTGACACCCTGTGCTTTTCACAGATGAGAGCAGGTTCCCCCTGAGCACATGTGACAGACATGAAAGGGTCTGGAGAAGCCGTGGAGAATGTTCTGCTGCCTGTAACATCGTTCAGCATGACCGATTTGGTGGTGGGTCAGTGATGGTCTGGGGAGGCATATCCATGGAGGGACGCACAGACCTCTACAGGGCAGACATTGGCACCCTGACTGCCATTAGGTATCGGGATGAAATCCTTGGACCCATTGTCAGACCCTACGCT